ACCTCCACATGATTCACGTCATTGGAAATAGCTGTCAGACACAGAAACTCCTCTGTATAGCAGCTGTCTGAGTCAAGTTCAGAAGATGAAAGATGATGATCCCGTGGTAGTTAGTGAACTTGGAGTTGCTGAGCATGGGGAGCCAACACAGCTTTCTTCAATTAGAGACTATTTTGTCTCCCACTGTATATTCTGCTTCTCATGTATTTCCTTGGCCTCTTGGCTTTCCTTTATTCTGTCCCTCATCCTGAGATATCTCTGCACTCCATTACGATGCCAGCACTCTCTGTTCTGAGTCACACTGATGTTCTTGGCCCTCAAAATAGATGGTTTTCTGGTATCTCAAGCACTTATTTGAGTTCTCTTTCCAGGACAAAAACATGGTAACAAATTACATCATCTTTCTGAGGCATTTTATCTTCTTTAATGAACTCTGTACTAGACAAGGTAGATTATAATAGAAGTATTATATTTAGATGTCCAATGGAAACATTGGGAGGCAAATAAAGTAATCTATCCCAGACTGCCTGATTAGCATGGAGTTCTTGATCCAGGAACATTTCTCTTGATCTTTTCCCTATCATATTTAAACGTCATGCAAGGCGCATGGCAGATTCCCAGTAAATGCTTGACTCTCCTTGTGTGATTTTCTGCATAGCCTAAGGACCAACTGAAGTACTAACTGGGACATAGCCTTTCCTCCTTCTTTTTCTTCTTTTTTTCTTATCATAGTTTTTTTTTTCTTTTTTTTTTTTAACTTAGAGTCATGTTTATACTAGAAGTAAGTTTACTAGTTTGTGCAAAAATCCCAAAAAGAAACCCACCTTTCTGGAGAGGTAGATATGGTCCTTCACACTAAGACTTGGAAGAACATGCACATCCTCGCAGAGCTGGGTTGTGGCCATGAAGCAGTGTCTCTAAAATGATTAACCAGAAGATACAAATGTATGAAGCTAACATGAATGTTCCTTAGGGTTAAAACTTGCTCTGTTATATTTACAGTATGAAAATGCTTCAGATTACATCAGGCATATCATGTACTGTTGTTTAAGTCACATACATTCCACTGTCTAATCTGCCTGCATTAGGAAACAAAATTGAGCATTCGTTTCTTCATTATTTTCACAAGTATGTATTGACCTGCTATGAGCCAGGCATTGTGCTAGATGCTGGAGACAGAGCCAAAAAAATAAGCGTGCCTATATAGCTGGTGGGGAGATGGAACATGAGCACCAACCACGTCTTCATGTTAGAAAGAAGTTTCTGTGGGAGGTGACAGCTAAGCTGAAGTAAGACAGAAATGGCCAGGTGAAGAAGGAATCTGTATGTGTGTACATGTGTATGTGGAGGCTGTAAGGGCTGGGAGGTAATAGCAGGCATTGCAGAGAGAAGGAAATGTATGTGCAAAGATCCAGAAACAGAGCAGGTGCCTATGGTTTGCCAGCCTATCAGGATGACCGAAGACTCAGAAAGAGCAAGGGAGAGGAGTGTGGTGTGCGAGTCCCGATCAGCAGGTGACCCTCTTATTGTTTTATTCTATCTTGGAACCATCATTTGATATTTTAGCCTATCTTACTGAATTGGCTTCTTTATAAAATTGGGAACTACCTATGAATCAACATACTTAAATGTGCAAAATTGAAGTACTTTGTTTAGAGGATTGAGGGAAGTTCCAGAGACAAGCAGATGTTTTTACTACTTAGAGCATCAGAGTGTCAAAGTGCTCAGTTACCGGTTTTAAGAGGCCTGGACCACTGCATTACAAGAGGTAGCCTATCACATCTGGTATTGAAGTTACTCAGAGTAAGACAGGAATATCAAAAAGACCTGGCTGCTTCTATGGCAGGTGGGAGTGTCACCTTCACGGCTTCCCCCACAATTCAGGGTGTATGATCTCTGCCATGTAGGCCAGGCCAGGTCCAGACCAGTGCTCCCAGGAAGGAGAAGTCTCTTAAGACCGTTCATGCTTACCAAACCATAAAAGACAGTGAATTCTCTAGGATGCCCATTGATCTATTTAAAAATGAGAAATAGATGTGCTGACAGACCAATTGATTATTATAGCATTGGCTGGCGCATGCATTCTTTCCTCATAAGAAAATTTGCGGCCGGGCGCGGTGGCTCACGCCTGTAATCCCAGCACTTTGGGAGGCCGAGGCGGGTGGATCACGAGGTCAAGAGATCGAGACCATCCTGGTCAACATGGTGAAACACTGTCTCTACTAAAAATACAAAAAACATTAGCTGGGCATGGTGGTGCGTGCCTGTAATCCCAGCTACTCAGGAGGTTGAGGCAGGAGAATTGCCTGAACCCAGGAGGCGGAGGTTGCGGTGAGCCGAGATTGCGCCATTGCACTCCAGCCTGGGTAATGAGCGAAACTCCGTCCCAAAAAAAAAAAAAAAAAGAAAATTTGCAGGGAGCTGTCATCAAAAGTTTCTTTTACAAACTTGAAATCAAAAAGAGGAAGTTGGATGATCTCAACAGCCACTATCATCCAGCCATTGTAGCTTATTATAACCATCTCCAATCTAGGGATGTGTTGATTGCACAAGGAACCTCCAGTATACTGGTCAGAAGCTTTCCACTACCCAGTAACATAAATTGGCTGACTAATTTCTATGATATCATCCTCATTATGTTGATACTTTCCTTTAGATATGTAAATACCTTGATTATGCCTCAGTTTCCTTTTCATATTCAGACAAGTATATATTTTTGTTCATCCAGTAGCACTGGGTACCTCTCTGTGCCAGGTACCAAGCTAAGCACTGGGGATAGAAACTCAAGGAGCAACTGAGACAATGTCACCGTAAACAAAATCTCTGTACAAAACAATGAAGGCTATAATAAAGGAATATATAAGAATGTATGAGTTCAGAGGAAGAAGCACTTTATTTTTAATTTTATTCACTTTTTTTTCCCACCAAAGCAGCATTTATTTACCCATTGAATTTATTTTATAAGTCTGGCATTTCATAATCACTCATCTTGATTGACATGGGCTGGCGCACATGGCGCTGTCAGGATACACAAGGACAATAGCCAAAGCATTACAACAAGTAAATCCACGATTCTTAAACAATTGCAGCCAAAAAAAAGAAAGGTCACAAGTATCAAAACTTTTAGATGCATTGCATTGAAAAGAAGGTTTGTGCATGTCATAATTTAAAGAGGCAAAAACAAGGCTCTACTGAAACCTCACGTTAAACAGTTTATTATAAAGCTGATGGAAAGGAGCAAGTTGTCTCTCTGTATGTTTCCCTTAACAGTTTTCCATTAGTTGAAGAAAGAGGTGGGAGGGGTGAATTCATTTTTGCATGCACAAGATGTACTGCTTAATGAAACACTATCAGCTTGTTTTAAATGGGTCTTTTAAATGTCAACTGTAGCCTTTATTCGCTTTTTCGTTAATTTACTTGTATGCTTTGTTTTGGGAATATTTTGCTGCTGTGGAATGTCTGAGAGTGGCGAATTGCTTTTACTGCCTGGCTGTCTTGAGTAGTTTGTCTCTGGGAAGGTAGTGTTCTCCTTCCTCCGGAGGGATCTTGGTGTGGCTTGCTGTGTACTTACTATGATGGATGTGCTGCAGAGCCTGGCTGAAACCCAGAGTGATGACTGGTATTGAGCTGTCCTCATAATTACTTTTTTGGGTAAGAGTTTAATTAAAGCTACTGAGAGGGCAGCCTAGTAATTCAGAATGTAGGGGCTGGCGTCAGACAGGTCTGTGCTGAAGTAATTACTCTACCACATATTAATAAATGTTATGAAACCTAAAGGAAGTCTCTTAACTGCTCTAATGGCTTGTTTCCTCAACAATATTCTGAAGCGAAAATATCTTTCATCAGGTTATTATGAAAATTAAATGAGATAAATCATGTAAAATACTTATCACATTATAAGAACTTACAAACGGTTAGCTTTTAGAGAAATCTGAGTTGGAGTCTAGAGGAGTATTTCTATTTGCTTTAAAATTTTATATTCTGATGTTATTTCTCCAAGAGTCTAGTTAAGAAAATGTCAACACATCAACTCATACTTATTTATTTTCTGTCTTTCTGTCCTGTGGTCCAAGAAGTCTCCTCTTTGTTTGCCTGTGGAAAGGTTGATGGTGAAAAAGCTTAATTCCCAGACAAGTGCTGTTTGTTAGTACGTGTTGAGGTTTTACGTAATTCATTAACGAGGGAGTTGGCTTAAAAAAGAGAGAGCGAGCTTGTTTCTAGAGTATCTGAAAAAAAGAAATTTATATATTTATTTGGGAACAGATTTCTGAGTTACATACAAAAATTGGTTAATGCCCTGGAGGGTAGTGAAATATAACTTTAGAGATATTTTTCCTACGGGGCCAAGAAAAAAATTACTTCATAATAGTGTTTTACAATTTAATCTCAAACTTTATAGAATTGTAAATTGTCTGGGTTATCAAACAAAACTATGTCTCCTGAAAGAACTGTCATATTAGAAAATACTCTACCACAACATTTTAAAGAAAAATAATCATCAATTTAGTATCAAGTTTTTCATAATTTTCCTACCACAATAAATAACTGTTTCACTACGCAATTCATCTAACAACAATAATGAAGTGATGTGAGAGGATTTTGCATTGTGAGGAGAAATTAGAAAGACTTTTTTAAAAATTGGGGGGAGAAATGCCAATAGGATAAGAAGGAAGGCTGGCAGTGAAGGGGGAAGGTTTGGCTTTGAAAGAGGAAAGAAGTGAGGATATAGGGAAGAAGATGCTCAGACCATTCTGCAGGGTTGCCTCTGTGGCTTCCTTAGAATTCTTCTCTCTATTCTTAGGGCTATGACTGCTCATTCTCTGGGAAGGAGGAAAGAATGGCAAAAGGTCATCCAGGGTTTTCAGAGAAAAGTGACGGAATCCATGATCTTTGAGACTCCCCCTCTAGATCCAATGTTTGTTCTTCATGGGTTCAATGCTCCTCTCTCTGTGCTCCCTTGGCTGAACCTAATCTGTTCTGTTCTTTATTTCCATCCATAGTGGCGTAGATGTTTACTATGCCGTTACCTTCAATGGTGAGGCCATCAGCAATACCACCTGGGACCTCATTAGCCTTCACTCCAACAAGGTGGAAAACCACGGCCTTGTGGAACTGGACGATAAGCCCACTGTGGTGTACACCATCAGTAACTTCAGAGATTATATTGCTGAGACACTGCAGCAGAACTTTTTGCTGGGGAACTCTTCCTTGAATCCGGATCCTGACTCCCTGCAGCTTATCAATGGTGAGTTTGATATCCATCACGAAGTCTTTGTGTAGTTTCTTTTCCAGCGTGCTCTGGTAAAATTGAATTTCCCTAAATATATAAGGTTGTGACCATTCTCTAGACTTCTTGAGACAGGAGCCAACCTGATGTGGAGCTTCAGCCATGCAGCTATTTTGGATAGATTAATCAGGGGCTTTCTGGAATATTTGTCGACAAAAGGCTACAGAGTATGGAAAGTGGCAGGTAGAAATAATTTAGAGAAATGGATGCAAAGTATAAGAAAAAGGAAAACAGTACCTGAAAGTAGCATTGAAACAGGTAATAATGCTGTCCTGACAACCGAGACATGAACTCTCTAAGGTAAGTCAGCTGGTAAAGGCTTAAAAATCAGAGCGTAGCAAAAAGAAAGAGCTCAAGAAAGCTAACGGAAATTCTAGGTCAAGGAAGAAGTGGTAGCAGAATCCCAGGTAATCCAATTACACTGACTTTAAATTCAGATGGCTGTGGAGAGCCTGTTATGATACATACTGAATAGGTGGGTATGAGGGGTCATCAAGAAGTGGGTGTCTACGTTGGATTTGGAGGCTACAGGGTGCCCAGTCAACCCAGGACTTAAAACTCGCTAAGAGTCTGGCTACTAGGATGCAGCATCTTAACTTACCAGGGCCACGGTATCCTGCTAACTCACTTGCTATTTTGCACTTGCTTCTCTTCTCCATGATTTCTTTACTCATTGGTAACTTGGCTTTTAAAATGTTCAGTGGAATATACATTACTGAAGTGACAGCATGGGAGAAGTACCAGCTGCCAAGGAGGAAAATCTACACGTGAGGCAATACGAATGATACATTTCTACAGCCTCTCCGGCTCTGACACATTTTAAAGAGAAAAGAGCCTCTGCCCTGTCCTTCCAGGCAGCTACGACATAGGTGTGTGTGTGTGTGTGTGTGTGTGTGTGTGTGTGTGTGAGAATGACAAACAAATAAACAAAAATAGACACTAGAGAAGCCAGAGAGGCTTATGGATTTACATAGGAAGATCAGAAAATTAATAATGGAAGAGAATAGTAGATTTGAAAGGTACGGTAGGGAAGAACATAGGAATCAAGATTTTTTGAGTTGGGGCTTGGGAGAATTTTTAGACAAAGACAAAGAAAGTATTGTCTTTCCAGGCAGTTATGTATGTATGTGAATGTGTATACACGTGTGCATGTGTGTGTGTGTGTGTGTGTGTGTGTGTGTGTGTATGTATATTTGTGTGTTTGTGAGAAACAGAGAAAGGGAGAGAAAAATTTTAATAAAATTTTACTATGTGATTTAATCTCTTATTTCCAAAATAAGGTTTCTGTGTGTGTGTGTGTGGGGGGGGGGTTTGTTTGTTTTTTTTGAGAAGCAAGAGTAAAACTTTTACGTTGCTTTCAACTATTTTGGCTGCTGGACTAACTTTTTTTTTTTTTTTTATGTGACATTCTGGTGACACAGGGTCACAAAGTGACCTGGGCTTTATATGAATTACATAGGATTTTAAGATGGAGAAACTCTGTCTTCAGTGAATGAGAGTGATATAGAACCATTCATTCTTAAACATTAGGGAGCCTTTATATTTCGGAGCAGGTACCCTGGGCTCACTTCCTCATATACTTCTTTATCATCGTTGAATCTCTGTTGGAATACTAGGGCTACATAAAATAGTGAACAGATAAGAAGCTTGTTATAATCTGAAACTGCTGAAGTCCCTCTGTCAATGCTAATAGAGATTAGCTGGGCTAACCATGGGGACAGCATATGGGCAGAAGATTCTAGGAATCAGGATATCGGGATCAGACAGAGAAAAGATACAGTTAGGAGATCATGACCTAAGGGAGTTAAGAACCTCCATTGAGCAGAAGGTGCAAACACCAAGGTCAGTAACTGGAGTGGTAGGAGAATCGCATGAAGATTAAGGTCAACAATAAATAAAGAGGTTGCTTAGGAATCTACATCCACAAACAGTATTGCAAGATCTTCCTTTTATGTGGAGTCTGTGGGTAGTGCTACTTTCATAAAGGTGTCCTAAAAAGAGGTAAAGAACTTCCGTAGACTTTGTAAGCAAGTTCACTAAAAGCTTTACAATATCTAGTACCAACTAATTCAGGCACCTTGGACTTTCATTAGACGTACGTTTCAATTACTCAGAATTTTGTCCCTAAAATCTATTTCTATTGTCGGGCCAACTTCAGAGTTCTGAAGGGTGGCAGCTTTCTATGTAACTTGATCATTATCTCAAAAGATACGATCTTCCTTATATCAGTCCATTCTCACACTGCTATAAAGAGCTACCTGCGGCTGGGTAATTTATGAAAAAAGGAGGTTTAATTGACTTACAGTTCCGCAGCCTGTACAGGAAGCATGGTTGGAAGGCCTCAGGAATCATGGCAGAAGATGAAGAGGTGAAGGAGAAGCAGGCATGTCTTACCATGGCAGAGCAGGAGGGAGGCAGGGGGAGAGAGGGAGGGATGGAGAGAGAGAAAGATCAGGGGGAGGCGCTACATACTTTTGAACAAACAGATCTCATGAGGACTCACTGACTATCCATGAGAACAGCAAGGAGGAAATCTGCCCCTATGATCCAGTCACCGTCCACCAGGCCCCACCTTCAACACTTGGGATCACAATTCAACGTGAGATTTGGGTGGGGACACAGAGCCAAACCATGTCACTCCTTGATCTTGTGGAGCTTATTTTTCATAGAAGACAAGATAATTGTATACACAGTGCTTAAAAGTTTTAGAAAATACTTAAGCCAAATAGGGTTTTTGACTTTTGCTTGATTTCTCTATGTCCAGCCAGTGGAAACAGGTGAATAAAGAGACTCTGCTTCTATTTGTGGTTGCATACACCGGATCAATCTCCTGGCAATCCTGTCTTTTTAGCTTTTACTGATTCCCTCTCCCCTCTGGGGAAAATCAGCAACTTTTTTTGTCTGTGTTATTTGTCCATTGTATATATGCCCCTCACATTCTTTTATAATTTGTGTTTATTTCTCTTATACACGTAATGCTTCCAGAAGAGAAACTTGGCTTTATTAATGCTTATAGCCTCAACTTTGGCAAAGTCTGTAGAAACTAGCAAGGATTCATTAAATTTTTGTTGAATTAAATTATATAATCTACTCTCTATGTTGCTCTTTGATATCATTACAGCAATAAAGATTTTTGGTGTCTTAGCTCAGTTTTCAAAGGTACTTTCTTCCCAAAAGGCAATTATATTTCATATTTTTCTATCATTCTTAGCATAAACCAAAGGAATTGAAATTTCAGTACACCTTTTTTACTTAAAAATTAATTTTAAAATAAGCACTTCATAGGAACCTTGGACAGAATAAAAACTGACTTGAAAAAGGAAAAAAGTAATACAGGAGTGTCCTAAATGTAGTAATGAGAAGAATCTTTATTTTGTGCTGGATTCTTATAATTCAGACAGATTGTGCTAACATAAATAAAATATCTGAATAAAGTAGCAAACATTTTCTAAGTAAGTGTGTCGCATATGTTCTGCCAAAATCTCAACTATGAAGAGGAAGAAGTTGGCTTTCAGTTGTCTCTGCACCTTAAATGCAATAGCGCCTCAACTAACATGTTCTTTAATATCGTTCTTTCCTCAGTGAGAGGAGTTTTGCGTCACCAAACTGAAGATCTAGTTTGGAACACCCAAAGTTCAAGTCTTCAGGCAACGCCACCATCTATTCTGGTATGTTTTATGTTTTATGCTAGAGCCAGGCCCTCGAGCTCCTCCTCTTTCTTCCCTCACCTGCTTACTTAGGTATTGTGAATTTCCCAAGCTGTTCTCCTTTTAGTTAATTGCTTGCATCATCCCTAGACTATTACTCATAGCTGTCAGCTCACAGGTACCAAGCGTTGCTTCAGAAAATTTAAGCCTTCTGCAGTGGTTCAGTACAGTCTGCATTGCCAAACTCCACACAGGGCAGAAAACGTATTTATGTTTCCTACTTCTACTAAGCGCTCCCTGAGCTGTTCTCTGAGAGTCACCCAAAACTGGATTTTATAGCCAAGATGGTAAATTGATTTACTAGGTATACAGTGTAGATTTTTTGTTCCGAGGATTATAGTGAAAAAGAAATTAAACTCCAAAGCACATAGAACGGTGTGTGTATGGAAGGGAAGGAGAAGAATTTCCACTAGCCGACAGATGACAGGGACTCTAAATCAGGCCTCCTTGTAATCTGGACGGAAAACATTCCCATTTGCGCAGAAACAGCATGGGATGAACTTTCCTTTTTGTTCTTACCACCCAGCTGCATCAGGAATTCCTCTTCCCCCTCTAAACCTCCACTTCCCTCTTCACTTGTAGGGAATTATACAGTAGAAAAAGAAAGAGCATAGTTAAAACTACAATGATAACATCTACAACCACAAACCACTACACACTTACCCGTCTACAATGAATAAGGAATCTTTTGTGATCACACAGAAACAGTAGGGGGACTCCCTTCTCATCTACATTCCTTGCTCTTCTTCCTGCTTAAAATTTATTTTCTGTCTCATATCAGCTATTTGAATTACTTGTTTCTTGACTTTAATCGAGCAGTGGAAATTCAGAAAGCGTGCCCTTAATTCATCTACCCATTAATCTTTGCAGCCATTTGTTCTACGAGGTTATAGAGCAACTCAATATTACAATGTAGAATGACTAAAAACCATCTTTTCACTGAGTTACATGTTAGACAAAAAGGTTAGAGGAGATTTACAGAGAGTACATTCATTTGGTGTGTATTTATTCATTTACTTATTCATTCATTCATTCAAATATGTTTGTTTGGTGCTTTCCATGTGCCAAGTGCTTGTGAAACTAAGACAAACAAGGTGTGGCTCTGCCTACAAAAAATTTCTAGTCTGGTGGTAGTAGATTTCTAAACAAATAAGGTAATGCAGATACTGCCCTAGAGGTCCATCCAGGATACAGTGGCAGGGAGCGATGACAGCACCACTACTCTCTGCTCCTAATCACATTCTCTCGCTGCAGAAGGAGTTTTGTGATGATGTTTTAGAATCATATTGTAAAGATGAGAGTTTCTATAGAAGCCAGAGGCTGCAAACTGGAGACGAGCTGGATCCAACTAAAGACATGCAGCTTGAGATTAAATTTTTAAAAATAAATCAATCGTTTACAAGTAGGAGACTTTTACATAAAAATGCAGATTTCTGGCTTCTTTGAACATCAGGAAGATCTGCTACTGTTCAGTTCATATTTCCTCGTGGTAGAAAGTGGCCGGAGCTTGACTCTGGCTGCCCCTTGATCACGGCCAGCACCAACAGGGCTCACCTGTTCATTTGTGTTGCAGTGCTTTGATTTGCATTTAAGCCAACTCCTTACTTTATCAAATAGTGATAACTGTAGGGCATTCATTAACAATTTAAGGAGACATTGGAATGTTAATGGGAGGTAATAAGACATGAAAACAAGGAATGATTAATTAGAAATGTCTAGTTATTACTTTCTTTTTAATTTATTCCTTCCCTCCCTTTCTTTATGTCCTTTCCAACTGTTGGCAAGATTTTACTCTACCGTAGAAGTGAGGTGGGGTTTTTCCCCCAGATTAGATTTTTAAAAATTATTTTATATACAGAGCTGCCATGATTATATTACTAATCATTTTATTGTTTCTATTAGTAATAAAGGCTTTATTCAAAGAGTAAAAAAAAAGTTATTTCAGAGCTAGGAATGTTGGGAAATTGAATTTGACACCTTTCTGGCTCCCTGATTTGGAAAATCACGTGTATCGTGTGCTTTCTTCAGGACAAGCAAGCTTTTCAATTGGCAGTAGCAGAAATGAAACTGACCAATATAATAAAGTTGTCAATATACTACATTGAACTAAAAGAATACACAAGTTAAATTTGTTACTGTGGGAACATCTATGAATAAAAAATTAATGAAGGGCTATTCCTGGCATGTATGTTAACCTTTCAAAATGTATAGGAAACCTTCATTGTCATGCCATTTTTTAGGTAATATTTATTTGGAAGGGTCTTTCTTCTTTATTTGAAGAGTCAAGTTGTTTACTTTCACATTTTATATTGCCTATCAGCAACTTGACTTCTTAAAAGATTTTATGCGTTGGGCACGGTGGCTCACGCCTGTAATCCCAGCACTTAGAAAGACCGAGGCGGGCAGATCACGCGGTCAGGAGTTCAAGACAAGCCTGATCAACATGGAGAAACCCCGTCTCTACTAAAAATACAAAATTAGCTGGGCATGGTGGAGCATGCCTGTAATCCCAGATGCTCAGGAGGCTTAGTCAGGAGAGTCGCTTGAACCTAGGAGGCGGAGGTTGTGGTGAGCCGAGATCACACCATTGCACTCCAGCCTGGGCAACAAGAGCAAAACTCTGTCTCAAAAAAAGAAAAAAAAAATTATGTATAGTTTTACTTTTATTTATTTATTTATTTTTCCCATTTATTTATTTTATTGCATTTTAGGTTTTGGGGTACATGTGAAGAACATGCAAAATTGTTGCATAGGTACACACGTGGCAGTGTGATTTGCTGCCTTCCTCCCCATCACCTACATCTGGCATTTCTCCCCATGCCATCCCCCCAACTCCCCACACCCCGCTCTCC